CATGCCCAGGAGGACCATGCTTCTGCCAGGTCCTCCTTCACACAAGCAAGCAAGCTGCTCCAAGCAAGAGGGGCTGAGGTCGCTTGGGAGACCTGCTAGCAGAGGCCCTGAAGACCATAACTGCAATAAGAAACCCATATGAGGGAAACATGGGTGCTCCAGTGGTTGGTGGAAAGAGTAGGAGGAAATATGCAGGGACTGTGAAGGAGATGATGGTGACACCTGAGATCAGGCCTGTTTTGGTGGGTTATTTGCCTTTACTAATACCAACTGCTGTGTTCCGAATTCACTCTTCCACAGCATCAAGACAAGTTCCTGTCTTCTCCATTCCTTTTTCATGTCTCTTTCTTTCTGCTAGCCTTGTGATCATTGTAGCATGCCAACACTGCTTCTGAAAGTTCACAGTATTGCTCCACGGTGCACATACTTCACCTCACTGAACTCCTGATATTGCTTCACCACAGCAGGCTTCATTCTGGGCAGTACCAAGCTACAGCTGCTCCACACTGCACCAGCATTTGGCAGGATTTGGCCCTGCACTGCTTTCATCAGAGCGCAAATTGCTTCCTACTTTCCCTCAGTAATTCTTCAGACCTATTCATCCCCCATCTCCCAGTGTGACTCTTTTCTTTCTCTTGGCACACTTACAGCGAGGTAGGCACACAGTAGATAAAGAAAAAGCTAATTGCAAGGCATGTAAAACACAATAGATGTGCTGGGAATCTATATATCAATACTGATGGGCATCCTTATGTGCACTGCATAGCTAAGCACCTCTGATAAGAGGTTGGACTGGGAACACATCACACAGAGAATAATGGATTGCTAGCTGCAGCCCCAAAACTAACTAAATAAAGGAGACAAGCTTCTGGGTTTGTTCATTATTCTTATAATCCTAAGTTAACAAAAACTCATGACTGTGGTGGGGATAAAATGTTCTCCCACTGCCCCCTCCTACCACCCAATTACAGTTTTGGATTAGTGCAATGAGCTGCCTACGGTGGTTTGGCCAGCATCCAGCTCCGAAGTCACTCATCCCTGACAAAGTCTAAACTGCTGCAGCTGAGAAATCTTGGAGCTAGGCTGGCAGACTGCCTGGAGAACAGAGACAATTCCTATGCCTAGATCTTGTTCCTTTGAGAGTCAGAGGCTCTGGCTGTTTCTGTCCTCCCTCACTGCTGTGTGTCCACAAGAACAGTAAGCAAGAAGGCCTAAGGAAAAAAAGAAAGTTGAAACAAGTATGGAAAACCACTATGGGGAGTGGTAAGTTACCTACATCCCTATAACTCCAGCCCTACAATAGTACTCAACAGTATAGTGACGTGAAAGGTCAAAGACCGAACAGCCCTTCAGTATTCAGTCAAGAGGAAAATAAGAAGGAAGAGACATGAATCTTACAAAAAAAGCATATTGTGTGCATGTGTGTGTATCTGCACTGTAATTGTACCTAAACATAAAGAGGCAGCTACTTTTAGAGACAATCAAAGTCTTACATCTAAAATTCAAACGTTGGAATATCAACACCACTCAAAAGTATTAGTTTGTAAAACCCCACTCTCTTTTACAAAGATAACTGTTTTTTAAATTATATTTGCTTGCTATGCACAGCAACAGTTTTCAGGAAAAGGAGAAATAAGATGAAAATTGGATATTTATCAGATTGGTTTCTTGAAGGATTCCTTAATTCTCTATGATGGCACACGATATCCCCAGCACCAACCCCCCCCCCCAGCAGGAAGGATGCTCAGCCTACCTAGGGCTGGCATAGCCAGTGCGAACATTGCTCCTAGCCACAGTTTCCAAGTCATTTGGCATAGTCACTGCCTCTTTGTGTGCAGTTCATTCCTTCTCAGTTCTGGTAGAGACTAGTCTGCCCTCAAGCTCAGACCATCTGGTTTCCACTGTATGATGGCTTCATAGGGTACTTTAATGAGGGCAGACATAGCTCTCCCTAACGGGTCCTATTGTAGTGAGTAACTCATTCAAAACACCCCACCTTTACAGGCAGGAAAAGACACTGATGCTGTTGAAAAGTGACTACTATGCTTTGGTTATTTTCTTTTTATTGTCTGCTCCTGTCACTCTTGATGTGTTCTGTCAATTAATTGGTGTACCAGTAATGAAGAAAGTTTTCCTCATAGTGAGTGTGGACAAGTGAGAGAGACAGGAAAATAATGCTCATCTTCTCAGACCCATTCACACTGCCATTTGCATTCAAACAAACAGAAAATGCTTTCAGTGTGACTGCAAGACAAACGTTCAGACTAAAACACTGGTGATACTAAGGCTGAATATAAAGAGGCAGGCTGAGCTTAGTTCTAACTTCTCTCACTTTACATGTAACTACAGCTGTTCTGTGTCTTTAAAAGTCAATCCTCAAGCAACTAGCATTTTGGAAGATGTGGCACCACAGTACAGAAAGGACATAAAACTATTAAAGAGTGTCCAAAGGAGGTCTATGAAGACAGTGAAAGGTCCAGAAGGCAAGATGTGCAAAGTACAACTGAGGTCCCTGGGTTTGGCCAGCCCAAAACAGAGGAGCTGAGGGGAGGCTCATAGTGACTTACAGCTCCGCAGAGGAAGCAGAGTGCTCTCTAATGACAGTGACAGGGCCCGAGGGAATGGCATAGAGCTGCATCAGGGGAGGATCAAGTTTGGAGTTAGGAAAAGGTTCTACACCAAGAGCATGGCTGGGCATTGGAACTGCCTTCCCATGGAAGTGGTCATGGCCCTGAGCTTGCCAGAATTCAGGAAGTGTTTGAACAACACTCAGACATATGGTCTGATTTTTGTGTGGTGCTATATAGAGCCAGGAGTTGAACTCAATGATCCTTATGGGTCCCTTCCAACACAAAATATTCTGTGTTTCTGTGATTCCACAAACTTCAGTTAGAGAAGAACAGTAGTGACAGTGTGGGCACAAAAACCATCATGAAAAAGTTATTTTTATAATTTGACAGCATATTGACTGAATAATTATGGAGCAGAACTTGTTAACAGGGCTTATCCTAACTACACAATTTGTGTTTCTTCTTATAGGACCATTTCTGCCATATTCTGTGATAGATTCACAATCACAGCATTCATTCCATCTTCCCAGCAAAACCCTGTGTAACCAGGTTGTTGTATTACACTCAAGGATTTGCCTGATGTTAGGGAGGAGGCAGGTTCTTGCACCCCTCCCTTACCCCTGTTTTATCCTCCTCTACCCCAGTGTTGGCCCCAGCCAACCTTTGCAGTATTGGGGTTTCACAAAAGGGGTTCTTTCTCCAAGGGTAAGGGACTGAGGTCTTCTGCCTGAAGATAGACCAGCACCCACTGCAGTTCCCAATATACTAAAGGAGAACAGCCATGAGGGGCCTCCCTCCTTCACTCCAGTTTATGTCAGAAAGAATCATTTTAGAAAAGAAGTACTTGAGACAAAATAGGCAATAGAGAGCAGACTGAGCAATTTACCCAAATCAATTACCAACAGTGCATCCACACATTTCCAGGCAAAGTTTTGCTATGAATAGAAATATTCCAATAGCAAATGGTAATGGTAGTTTTCCATTAAATGTATGTATCAGAAAATCCAAGATGACCACCAATGCACATTTTCATTTCTCTGCCAGAGTATAACACACACAGGTAATGCTAACTTTCTGACCTTTGCTTTCTTCTGTCCTGTCACATGGCTTTTATTTGTCTTGCCAAAATTTGATATCTCCATGGTATTCTCCAAGCAGCATTTTCCTTCCATAGTAACTGATGCTGCATCCAGGCATTGCTCAGTCAGTTCCATTCACGTGTGCACCAAATTCTGCCTCTGGAGGCAGACGACCATTCTTTATGACATTCCGTAAAAAGGAACATGTTATCCTTTTTTTCCCTCTCCAAATGCAAATAGACAGCACTTTAAAAAAAAAAAAAGAGGAGTATCTAGTTTTGATCTCCAATTGCTATTTGCAGCAGCCGTGGATTAGTTTGGTAGTCTCAGTCATATCACTCCTGACCAACATCAAGAACAACACCCTATGAAAACAGAAGACAGCTACTACTTCTGAAAATAAGGCCGCCCACTTATTCAGACCCAAGATACGCCTTCATATAATGAGAATAACACACAGATTATGCAAGGGAGTAGCAAGACTTCATCAGCATTTCCAACAGCACTTGGAAGAACCCTGGATAAAATGTGCTACAACATCCGTATTCTTAGCCAGGAATAAGAAGAATGGGGGAATGGGGAGGCAGTGTAGAAATTTATTTTGCTAATATAAGGCCAAAGCAAAAAAATAATCTCCATGAATGGACTCTACCACGGGCTTCTATCTGACAAGTCACAAGAAATATGAGAAGCTGCTAAAGCGGGATGGCAAGCTTATCTGGGAGGAAATGAGCAGAGCGTATATCTGGCTGTCACCAAGAGAGGAAAGTGCCAAGCCCATATCTACTCCCAGCACGAGGAGCCGTTGAGCTGCCCTGAATGACAATAGCTCTCATCAGAGAAGGACACAAAGTGCCTGAGGAGCGATAAAAAAGCAGCCAAGCTTTTCATTTTCCTAAGTGCATCCCCTCATTATATTTTCTTTTAAAAACATCTTTTGACCAATTTTAATGCAGATGAGAAGTTGCCAGATTGACAGCCCCGGAGACTAAAGACCTTCCTCATTATCTGTAGCTTAGACAAGGGCAAGAAATCATTCCTCAAGCTCTCTCTACTCTGGCAAGGCGCCTTCTGGCCAGCAGGATACGAACTGGAGGGTAGGGAGCTCTTTCCGAACACAAGCTAAGCTCTTGACCCCTGTAAAGATCTACCTGCTTGCCAGCTTAGATTGTAGCCTGCAAGATGCGTGGAACAGGATTGTGCAGAGGATAATCTTCTAATTTTATATTACAATAATAGAATCCCTGGAGCAATGTGCACTGATTGGTGGAATGCATGTAACAGGAGGCATAGCGCAAAGAGAATAAACACAGTATAAGTCGCCATCTCACACAGTGAGTTGGATTCCTACCTTTTGTCCAGGAGGAGTTTAAGGGGAAAATCACATCCAAGTCAGCTGCTGGGTGACAACTGGAGTCCAAACCGAGCAGGATCCATCTGTCCTTTGCACATGCCAGGGGAGGAGCTGGCTGTAAAGAAGGCAGAGATTTTTCCTCTGAGAAACAGAGCCGTGCATTTCTTTTTTCTTTTGAGGTACAGTCTTACCTTCCTCTAGCCCTTAATGAGCTTTGAACCTGCATGGAACTGAGGAAGAGTTGGTCTATTTTCATTCATCAGAATTCAGTAGGAGCTGAGAAGTTATCCTTTGTACCAAGATGCTTCCTATCTACTCTGATCAAAGAGGTCTTAACACTGCGCAAGGCAGCAGTTCCTGGCTCCTATTGTGTTAGGGACCATATTCCCCATGCAACAATGGTATTTCACATCAAGTACTGAAAAAGACCTTTTTGTTGTTGTTTTGTTGTTGTTTTTTTGTGGTTTGGTTTTTGGTTTTTTTTTTTTTTTTTCCCTACTAATGTAATAATCAAGTTTCCTGTTCAAAGAGCTGCTATTCAACTTGAAAAAATTGAGGAGCTAACTTCAACTAGCAAATTCTGACATCCTAGTTTTCTTAGCTGGCTATACCTGCAAATGCATCTTCAATGGCAATCTCTAGCTAAAACAATAAATTACTTTTTTCTTAATTGCTAGAATAGGCTCAAGGTTCGCTTTAACTTCTTACAATGAGATGAATTTTAAAAAAAAGCTTCAAAGTGAGCATGACGTAAAGCCACTATTTTAAATCAGATCATATGATACCATTCACATCACCTCCCCTGTGATTGTTGTACAAATAACTGGTTATGAGGCTTCAAAACAGACCTTAGTCTTCAGAGAGGCTTCAAGCTCAGTGGAATAATACAATCCCTTCTTCTCTTGTGGGAGTTTTATCTTGACTGCTAATAGCGTCTTATCACAAGTCCCAAAAGATCTGGTGCATTTCTTCCTCCTTCAGCCTCAAGAAAAAGAATTCTGAGGAATTTTCCCTGGGAGGTTTCCTCTGATTCAACTCAGTATTAAAGTACATGCTGCCTATCATCACAAACAGACAGAGAACTTTTCCAGTTCTTTTTTCCTGGCTCAACCAGGTGGCAATGCTAATATATTTAACAGCATTCAGCTGAAGACTCAGATGTAGATGAGCTTTCTTCATAATTACATGCACAGGGCTGACTTCTTTGGAATAAAGCAGTGTTAGAGGCTAGCATTGCTGTAGGCCATAATTTAGATATGTTTCTTCTCAAGCTCTTCTTTTCCATACCAAACAATGAACAATTGGTTTGAAATATTACAGATTTTTAAAAGAAAATCTAATATTCTGGAGTATACAACTATGATACAGGCCATTGCATTTACGTACAGAAACTATTTCTTGATAAGCAACTTTATCCTCAGCATCCACGGCTAAGAGGTGTTGAATTCTGAAGCAGTGGTTCCAGGTATGGGAAGGAATAGGCTCAACTCAACCAGTCACGGCTCCAGTCTTGGGCACCAGAAGCTCCAATGGATCTCAGGTGTTCTTAGATGTGCAGGCAGGTTTCACTGAGATACACAGTTCATTCCTTCACTTATCTTCAGACCATAAGCATACAAGATTATGCCTCAAATAGATAGTTTCTTTGGTTGATTAGTTAAGTATTTTGGAACCTCTCTGCAGCCTACAAGTGTTGTGACAAAAGCAGCACAAGTAAAGTCTTAAAGACCTTGTGACAGAAAGTGGCGCTACCTGAACTCTGTCTGTTTATGTTTGCCACTGCTTGATACTCTGTATTTTGTGCTTATTGTGTTGTTTCTTTACACTTTCAAAGCTCTCTTTCCTTCCATATGTGAAAAAATGGTAATTATTCTCTTTGGGAGAAGACACAGATGGGATCTCAACACTTTTTGGTAGTCTTGGTACTTCTTTGACTCAGCAAACCAGATTTCACTTTCATTTAAACTGCTTTAAATCTAGTTTTCGAGAAGTATAAATTAGAGCAAGTTGTCTAAGTTTGCATCCAAAAGCCATACAATTGCTTTTATGTTCAGTACAAACCATTTAGAAAGTGACATTCTGAAAGAAAGATTTCTCTGACAAATAATTCTTTATAGTGCTAAAAACTAAGGGAAGGAGCTGCTTTCAAGGCGCTGAATGTTTTCAGGAAGAACAGATCCTTAAGGTTTAAGGCTTTACATATATATATATATTCCCTAGTCACAGATTATTAACAGGTCTCCAAAATTCTGCATTGTGTTTTGTTTCCTGGAGGTGAAAGGGACATTTCTGATGATATTTGGGGATTTGTGTGTGTGTGTTTTCAATATCCTGTGCATCTATAGAAATCAGGCCTCCCAGCTGTCTTTCTTATACACGTAAACAACTCCTCATTAGTTGTTCAGCCCACGTATACTTTATATGCTACTCTATGTAGTCGCATTTGATAAGATTGCCAGAAAGATGCTATTTTCTGATGTGGAGGTAGTTTATCTCCCTCGCTAGTTGTCATGGCATTTTCAAAAGTTCTAACAAAACATTGGCTCCTTCATGAGATCTCAGAGGGCAGGAAGAAGATAAAACAGGTTACATTTCATTAACCTACTAAAATGTTACTGAATTATTTCAGTATAAACACCAGTACACTACCAGGTACTAATTTTTTACATAAAGCAAAAGTGAAGCACAATGTCCTTATGGCACTACTAGTATTAGCCTCGGATGAGTATATACCTTCTGGTCATTTTCACCAGATTTTTATGTCTCCCTTGAGCTTTTGAGCCTGAAGGACATAACCTGAAATGCAGAAAAAGCCTTGTGTTGAACAGAGAGATGAAGTTTAGTTAGGAAACAGTTATTTAATTTTCATCCCAGAACGAGGCTCACAGGCACCTCTGAACACTGTAGTCCTTGTTAGCATCTCATTATCCAGCATCTTGTTGTTATCTGTTTTGCTTTGCCATGAGTCTAATGCAAACTGTGACAGGACTCACTTTGGTAGGGCTATTTAGAGCATTCTGGGTCAGATCCTCAGCTCATACACTACAGTGCGCTTTCACTGGCACCAGCAGATACACATAGTTCACTCACACAGAGCAAAGGCACTGGTCCTTTGAACACTACACTAAATCCAGACATGATTTCTGTCTGTCCTCTGAAATTCTGTGACTTTGCTGCCTCTTTTTTGTCTGCTCTAGCAACTCATGGCTCTGTTCTATCTTTTTCAGCAGCCCACCTCGCTCTCACTTACTGTCTCTATTTGTTTGTAGTCGTGATTTTCCTTTTTAAAGCTCTTCTCTAAGCAGCTTGTGCTAATGCAATGTCCAAGCTGCTTTATTTGCTATCTGTCCAATTACATGTACTCAGCCTTTGGGGATTTGTGGCATTTTGTGTTTTCATAATGGCAGATGTCAAGTGAGCCCTTTCGTTTACTGCAGTGAAAACATCATTGTTTTGGATTTCTTCTCTGAACTGGTTGCGCATTTTCAACTCTTCGCTGGTTTGAAGACATCCTGTGCTTGATGACTCTGTTCATAGCTTTACTCAGTCTAAGGTCTGCTCTTGCAAGCTGCTGCTTTTGTGGATTTTGTATGAATAGGACCCAGAAAAAAAAATCCGCCCTATATCTAAAAAACTGTCAACATTGGAAACAAATTCCCATTTCTTTTAGCTCAGCTAGAGAGTATCCCTGAGATATTTTTTCTCTCCCAATTAAATGGAAATATTTTGATTCACTTATCAGCTGTTGTAAGTCAACACCAGTTAGCAGGGCTTTATTGATTTATACCCACTGGGAATTTGGCACATGAGCCATGTTTAGTAGCTTCTCCATCAAATGCACTTTCATTGTAACTCTAACTATCTTTATGATAGAAAATGTTAGAGTTACTATTGCTCTAATAACAAAACAGCATCATTGTTTCTCTGTGCATTGTGTCTATTGCCATCATTTAGCTCAGCATAAAATACCACTGTAGAAGAATCTTAACATTTCAGTGTGATGGCTTTTTATGCCAACTTTGCAATTGTTATAACTCATCTTACGAGCTGAAAAATAAACTCTCCAAGGCCAGAGTCCCCTAGACACATCCTTGTTGCAGTATTCCTATGCAAATACCTAGAGATTTAGCTACTGAATGAAAATATTCCTCTCCCCATGTATCTAAATGTCGCTCTGGGGCAAAGTCAGTCTGATCTCTCCAAAGTGTGCAGTAGTGATCCACAGAGATTCAAAGTCAGAGTTGACCACTAATTTATGATGTCTGAAATGTAGGAACTCTTCTAGCACCTGGCTCCAGAGATTCCGTGTCTGAGTCCCATCTCCATACTGGGGAGTATGCATGGTTTCCTCCACAGTGTGCTAGTTGTCCCATAAACCTCTGAATTCACAGTCAATGGCAGGAGAGGCCTAGATGGGAAAGGGGAGAAAAAGCAGCGTTGAACAGCCTTTATAAACTCCTGCAGATCTCCTCCCACTTGGAGGTATGGCCTGGCTCTGCCAGTGCACATGGATGCAACTCTGCTCTTCTGACTTATGTCTGTTTTATGTTAGCTTTATACCAGTATAGTTCAAATCTGTTTTCCTTTTTCACTTGCTTTTCTGACATCACTTCCAGAAAAGGCTTTAGTTCTCTTTCCTCATCACACCTCAGCCTGATCTTATTATCCCTTTCCTCGTATGTTATCATTTTTCATCATAAAAAAGAGTTATCTAAATACTTCTCTAGTTCTTCTTCTCCCTTTTCTTCTTGCTTGCCATTTAGTAGACACTGAGCTAGGAGTCTCTTTGGTATGTTTCTTTCTTAGGAAATAGAAAGCAGTCATTTATTGACTAGCTCATCCAAGCTGTTCAAAGTTTGCTTTTTTCCCCCTCTCTTCAGTCTGAGTTTTTAGCTGAGAGAGCAACATTCATGGCAAGGCAATATCTCTACCTCTCCAAAGATTTCAGAGCTCTGTTGAGTTTGTCATAACAATCTCACCTTCCACCTTTTGCCTGTTTATTGTCCCCTGAGTAGATGAAAAGACATTGAAAGACTTCTCCAGTCCACAAATTCCCTAGGGCTGACCATTATACTTTTACAGGTTCAAGAGGGCTAGGATGAGGGCATGCATCTTCCCAGACCAAATTATGGCACGCAGACGAGTTTGAACACAGTGTGTTTGCTTTTCTTCCTAGTATTAGTATACATAGTCTTCAAAGAAACTGCTTAAGAACTCTATACTCACAACAGTCTGTAATTTTGCTATTTTAGTTGCTGTCTTGTCATTCTGTAGAGCTCAGGAACACCTCTCTCTATTTGTGCACTGAGCACGAGGGTCCCCAAGCTGGCTCACTCCCAACCAGGCCCAAGCTGCCTTCATATGCACCCCACAGTTCCACATTCTCTCTCCAGCCACCATGCCAGCACCAGGCACCACAGACTGTCTGAGCACTGTTGTCAAACAGCTACTTATCCCTTGCTCTTGGGGTTGCATGAGAGAAAGAGGCAGTGATACTGTACATGAAAGGTTTAATGGGCAGCTTCAGTTTAGCAGTGGGGCTTTTCTCCCATCAGTATCATCTTTTTCCAATACAAAGAGATGTTGTGAGTGGTTAAAGATGTGTAACTGCTGTACATGTTGACCTAAAATGCAACTCCTGGCTTAAAGAGATTCCAAAATCAATGGAGGACAAGTAGGAGAAATGAGAGAGAGAGAAGTGGACCAGAGCAAAAAGGGCTAATGATAGCAACAAATCTCAGAAAAGCTCTCTGGGTTTTGAAAACTTTTCCAGGTTTCAGAGCCATGAAGGGCTTGCAGGAATGTTGGGATGGAGAGCCAAGAAATAGAAAGTTATGTGAAGTTCTCTCTTCTCACACACATGGGGAGCACAGGATAAAATCAGGAAGATATTCAGTAGGGTACCTGAAGGCATTGAGAATTGCCACTCTGGACCAGTTGAATGTACAGGAATTTTTATGCTACACTTCCTCTGCAGATAGAAACAGAGCCTCTGTGAACAGGAGGCTCACTTTTTCCCATTACCGCTCCCAGCTGCATAACTTTTGCTTTGATAAACAAAGCAGGTGAGAATTTGACTGCAAATTAAAGGCCTGGAATGACATTTTCTGCCTTTTCTATGTTCCCAATGAATACACTTTGTTTGAACTGATAACACTGCACAACGAGAAGTCAACAGAGAGACAGAATCATTTCTCTTGCCTGAGTTGCAGTGAAGCAGTGCTCTGTACCAGACAAGATCTGTTGCCAAGGCTTGCTAGTTAGGCCTGCTTAGAGATTTGTTTGGGCATCTGTTCCTAATTTTGCAGGGCCATAGTGATCCTTCATTTCTGGCCCATGTGCAAACTAATGATCTGTACTGCAGTTTGTCTTTTAATTAACTTCCAGAGGGGCTGCTCACTGAGATGCAGATTATTTAGAAAGGCAGAGAACTAAGGAGGCATGTGTTAGCCTCCAGTGGCAGGATGCAGTGGCATTGTGTCAATGAGTTTGAGAAACTGTGAAAGGCCTTACTCAGATGATCTTGCTTACCATTCTTTGCTTTACCTTACCGCTAGAAAAAGTGATGGAAGCTGAGAAGATGCTAAAGGAAAAGGACTACTTTGGACTTTCTTGTACAGACTCTTGTGTGGACATTGCTCTTTGTTGTTGAACGCAAAATAGAAGGCTAGGTGGACAGAGCTCTGCCAATCTAAGACCACCCAAAATGACCTCCTTTCCCTAGATAGTCAAGCTTTTAAGCATGTTGAGAGAGAATTACTGAATAATAACATCGTTGACAAATGATGTAAAGCCATCATACTGAGGAAATAGACACTGTTCTTTTGTGCAAACGTATGCTGTGACTGAGGTACTTGCAAAAGCCAGCAAGCAGTATGTGGCCAGGCAATCTGTCTGATGACAGGTTACAGACAGGTATAGTCATAAGCAAAACAAAGCAAAGGAAAAAAAAAAGATCAGTCCAGAAGCTTCTTAGGTTTATATCACTTCAGCATGGACATCCTTTACCCTCTGGCAACCTGGGTTTGGAATGATGTACACATGAAAGAGCATATGTGAGCTGAAATAACCACTATATACGCAGTTCAGGTTCTTCACTGTAGCTCTCGGTTTCTCCATGATGAAAGAGATGGCTTTGGGATTACTGCCATGCTGCCCTGACCATGCATGTGCCCACAGCCTCTTAGGTTTCCAATTCAAATGAAATCACTTCCACCCTCATAGTCACCAGATACTTCTGACAACTCTTGTTTATAGCTGATCAGCACACCCTTCCTGTAGAGAGCACAGCAATGTCCTTTGTGACAAGCAGTGGATACGTGGAGGATATTTCAGATTTGGGGGAATTATGATGTTGCTATGTTTAAGAAGAAGGACTTCTGACTTGTGAAACAACCAGGCAGGAGACAGGAGGTCCTTCAGGAAAATGAGATGGTGTTTTTCAAACATAGCCTAGAACATGAGTTGCCCCAGGCTGCTGGTTAAACTTCATGTGAGCAATCCCAAAGTTCTGCTGTAGCAGATCCTCTTCATTAGTAAGAGGCTATGTTTAGGTCTCTGTTGACAGGTGGGAGGACCAGGGTTGGCAAGCAAGTTACAGAGAAGTCAGAAATTACTAAACTTTTCTTGTACTCACAAGGTGATCTTGAACTCAACCTTAGAGAGAACAGGAAAATTTGTTTGTTTTGATTTTTCATGTGCTCCTAATGAAGAAGAAACTCTGGTGGCTGATGCCCCAGTTCAAATTATGTACACAAAACACCACAAGCTTCTACTGCTTTATTTGTGAAACATATTCCATTAATAGCAGTTTTTCCATAGTTACATCCTCAGAGTATCAGGGTCAGAGCAGGACCTTAACACATGCAGAACATTGCTTTCATTAATTCTTACTTTTCTTTTCTGTTTTTTCACCAGAAAAGACAATTTTCATTGAAAAGGGTCAAAAATACACAGTACTAGCATTTATCCATGCATTTTTGAATGAACTTCCATATGCAATACAGATTTAGTTCCCCCTCAGCTTACTATTCAGATCCTAGGAAAAAAAATGTTTTAACCCTCTGCCAGACTACTATAGTAAGTCTACTTGTTTGTTTTTTAGTTAATGAGGCAAACCTGAAATTAAACAATAGAAATCAAAACTACATCGTGCTACCAAATAAATTTGGAAGATAGGACTACCTTGTCGAAAGACATTTGGAAATCTTATATTCTTATTAATACAAGGTTGACCTCCAGATGTCTTATGACAAGTTTAAAACAAATGCACGGATGTTTTTACTAAAGGATACAGTGCAACTGTGGAACTCACTGCCATGGATTGCTTCTGGAGGTCAAAATTGTAAAATAGTTATTTTGCTTCGTGCTTTGGGTTCTCTGGGTCAGCAGAGAAATACTCCCACCAGCCCAACTAGTGGTATTTGAGGAGGTGGGGCTACACAAAACCAGTTATAGAAGCAGGTCTAGCATGGGCAGACCCTCAGAAAAGGTTAGTTTGTATTCAGAGGAAAAACTTTTTGCTATGTTGGAAAGAATAATGAGTTAGTTCTTTATGCAGTTTCAGGGAATGAGCATTGCTGTGAGAATTACAAGAAGGTACGGTACCTGCAAATTTAATACTTTTTAAATGTAAAAAAATCAAATCCCAGGGGAAAGGCATTGGCTGGTTTTTAGCTCCTGAGAGTGAAGAGGAAAGTGTTTGTGAATGAGAGGTATGTGCAGTTCTTCACACAGGAAATACGCACTGAAATTGCACAGAACTGAAATATAAGCTGAACAACTTGATTAATCCTATCATGCATTGCTTGGATGCAAACTTCATTATAAAATGGAAATTGAAAGTATTTTGCTATTTGATCCATACTGAATATATATAGTGGTTGCTGTTAAAACCAACTATCATTCTGTACGATAGGCAAAAAACTTCTCTCCCATCCTTTGAGTAAAGTGCCTGGGATGAGTTGAATTTCAGCTGTAGATGAATGTAGAGAGAACTCAGATCTACTATATCCAGTAAGTTGTGAACAGTCTAATCCACTCAAGTCTGAGCTTGTTGACAGATGCTGAGCAACATTTGCCTCTCTAGGCAATGGAGCCCTATCCCTGAGACAAATTCAAGGTGCACTCTGAATTTACAGCTTGACTAAGGATAACCCCTGATGGCCTTTACCTTACAGACTAATGAGGCGAGAACAAAATGATTATCTGTTTTTCAGGCTCTGCACTTTACCTTAGAGAGTGCATTCCTTAGCAAGTAATTCCAAGTAGGAGAATTTCCCATATCATTAGAAATAATGCTCCTAGATATGCCATGAAAAACTGTAGATAACATTAGGTTTTCAACATGAAGATCTCATCCCTCTGTGCCTAAGTGATGTAAGCAGAAGTCATAGGCCAGATCATAGG